GGGGGGGGGGAAGGAAGAAATTTAATTTTATTTATCATAATGGCCATTCCATTTTCGCGCATCGCCCAACCGTTTAAATCCAATCTAGAGATGGAATTGCGTTTTTCATCGGCGAGGAAAATATTTCCATTTAAATCGTATCGTCGATACAATATCCAGAAAATCTCTGTTAATACCTTCGTTACGAGGCTGTTACCGTTATTTTTAACCTTCTTCGAGTTATTTCGGCCATTCTCGAAAAGTGGATTCTCCATTTATAGCCGATCTGTTCTATATAATATCGTTAAATTTATTATTTCATCCTAATGTACTGAAACTTGTTTATCTTCGAGCAAGATTGATTTTAATTTTAAATATTCATCAAAAGTTCAAATGAAAGGAATTAAGCTTTTTAGTTTTTACTAAAAATATTCATTTAACGTTGCGTGAAAAATGTTAAATCGCTTAAAATGACATTCTATCTTCATTTCTATATCACAAATATTAGTTTTATATCCGCACGAACAAAACCATAAAACCGTAAAATTATAAAATAATTTCATATCAAACGGAGTCTTCTTTCGAATCTTTTAAGAAATATATCGTTTTCTGTTATATATTTTAAGGGAATTCTTTCAAATAATTGTCCGATAAATACACGTTGCAGCGATCGAAGGGTCTATTATATTTTCTTTCGGAAGCGCAGTCTTTTCATTTCGAGCAGGATTTCATTGCGAAAGAAGAACAGGACAACGAAAGAAGTCGTCCTCGCTTCAGGAAGTAATATCGTGAAAGACTGACAGCAAGTCGCGCGATATGTATCGACTTCTCTTCCTGTATTTCCGCCCTCCTATCTCCTTTTCTTCCTTTCCTTTTTATTTCCTCATTTCCTCCCGTGGAAACGCAATCGCTGCAAGCAACACGCGATTCGATTATTTCGCCAGAGTCATGGATCGGAATGCGATGTCCTACTTTTTCTCTGTATCGCAATAAATTCGCGTTACAGTAGCTCTTTGTTTAACTTTGTTGAATTCTTTGTTTTCGTCGAGTATGCGCGAATTTCCTTTGAAATTATATATTGAAATATATTTCCCTTCATTTTACGAGAAAAATGGCCCGATCAGTGTTTCATGATCGGAAATTTTATGGAAACTGGGTGACAATTTCGTTGCGAGTTCTGTTTCATCTTGGCAACGATGAATTTTGTGTGATCGATAAAATTCTTCATCGTAAATGTTTCTAGTAATTTGTTCTGAGAAAATATCATTTGATGTACTTGCCATAAAAAAGATTTAACACGGAGAAGGAGAAATAAATCCTCGACAAGGAAATTTTCATTTTAAAATAAAAATAAATCGTGGCTTGCTTCCCAATCAAGGCAAACAGCAAACACAACATCTAATTATTCTCTTGACTAATTAATCTCAATTAATTCATACACTAAGCCACACTAACACACTATCATCTCAATTAGTAGTCATGAAACAAATTACAAAAAGAAAAATATGACTCAAAGAACAATTAAATTCCAATACGAATCAAAACGAATCTGCCAGAAATTTAAATTTTTCTTCGAATTTTGCTTATTTGAATAGAATCGTATAAAAATGCGAACGTCCAGTCGCGAAGAAGGAACTGGCCCAATTAAAAATCACAGTTTCCAATGCTTTCTAATTAACTCGATGCATGTGTAAATTTCAATCGAACTCGAAAAACAGTGACGCAAAAATTCAATTAAAACAGCTCTGCGCCCATTCATTTCCATTCTCGCTTTTTCCTCATTTTCTGCGCGGAAACGTTCTTCGTTTTCGAAGCTGCTTTTCGCTCGGCGATGTGAAAATTCGATTTCCAGCGATTCGTCACGGTTAACGTTGGTCGTCGTGGCGCCACGCTCGATTTACGAGGATTACAAACCGCTCATTGCTGCGTACACATTCTACATCGAAGGGAAAACGAGCGTAGATCAATCCGACGAGACATCAATGCTTTCCTGACTGGACATCATCAACGTCGTTCCGATAAAGAACGAAACAGGAAGGGAGCCGTCGTAAAAGTGTCCCTGTCGAGTCCTGCCATCGATCATTTTAACTCCAATATCTTTTATTTAAGGCATTGCAGTCGATCACTTCGTTTGTCCATGACTTTTATGACATATGATTGACTGTTCCCCCTGTGATTTCGTTTTCTTGCTTCCAATGGAGATTGCGAATACGTAGAGTGACTTTTATTCACGTTTCGTGTGATAAAAATAATACTGCGCGAAGCAAATACGTTTAATAACATAGTAAAATTCTATCCTTTCTTCACTATTTTATAATTTATTTAGAACAAAAGTAGCTAAACTTGTTTTTAATGTTTGATTGCGCATCTGTCGCGTTGTGTAAAACGTTCTGAAATTTCATTAACATTATAATGAGACACGGTTATTGCAGCTATGGCTATCGATATTTAAAATGACGTCAAATACAAGTACAACTCACCGTTTTCTTCAGGCGAGATATGGGTGACATGTTCAAGCCAGCGATGATCGCCATTAGGGAATTGAAATTGCCGATGTTGAAGCATTCACGGGCGGTTTCGATCCAATATTCAACCACACGAACGCGTTGTTTCTTTTTTGCATGCTACAAAACAGTCGAACTTTTTTAATAAAATATCGTATTTTGTGAAATCGAATCACGAAATTTATATTGCAAAGAAAAGGAATAATATATTTTTATTATGTTACTTTTGATGGAAAAATTTATTTTCTAAAATTACTTTATATCAAAGAGATTGCTTTTTATGCAGGACCTGTGCATATTTTCAGATAAAGTGAATTTGTACGATATTTATTAAGTACAATTGTAATAATTAAGCAACATATATTTAATTTACCTTGCATACTTCAGTCGCGACGAAATAGCTCAGTCTATTAAACCACTGGACGTACGATTCGAGATTGCGTGTTTTCTTCATGTCCTTAAAGGATGTTTCCAAGTGAGGAGATTCCTGTTTATAGGAAAAATCAGTATCCACGATTAATATGAAATTTCTTCTTTCAACTTATTAATTAAAATTACTATTTATTAATATAGTAAGTATATTCATTAGCATAGAACCTCGATTATATCCGAATTAATTACATAATACATGTGCATCGATATTTTTATAAAAAATCGTTTCCGAATGTTCTATTTATCGATGTCCCGATAATTAGCCATTCCGTTAATCACCTTCTACCTAAAATTGCTATATCTAAAATATATTTTCAATGATATTAAAAAACATCGATAAATGAAATAGAGAAATAGAGGAGAAAAAGAACGTACTATTAAACGGACGTGACAAATGGAAGAGGCAGGTGTACAAACCTTGGCAAAGGCTTGGACGAATTCTTCTGGGCCGATATACGAGAGCCTCTCGAGTTCCACGTGGGTCAATTGCTGTGCCAGGACCGTGGCCGATGGGCACAGCTCGGTGATGTCCACCTGAAAAACGGGGTGACAGTTCCATTCGGTTCGAGTGTCGAAGAAAAGCGACGCCGGGAAATCATGTGCAAGAGCGTCGCTCTGGTCGTGGGGGTAAGAGACGCGATGAAAGGGAGGCGTCAACGACAACTCGATTCACAGAGGTGCAGAAAGACAGAAAGCGGAAACGGGCGGAAGCTGCGCGTCCACGTCGCGACGCCTCCTCTTTTCCTTTCCAATTTCACGTGCTCGT